GCTGAAAATTTGTTATTTTGAGGTGGCACCTCCCCGAAGCCCCACACTCCCCCGATTCCTTGTGCTATATGGCTCTCACAGGCAACCCGCAGAACCTCCACTCTCCCCCGGGTCCTTGCTTTCCGCCAACATAGCAGTGACCTGGGGGAGTGTGGCCAGCAGTTGGGCTGCAGCTCCTGCAGTTTGATGTTCCTTTCTGCCTTGCTGCGGCCTTTGAAGTTGAAAAGTTGCAACTTTAAGGCTATTCGGCCAGCAGCTTGGGGCCTTTGGGCCTGAAAATTTGGCAGTTTCAGGCTATTTGGCCAGCTGTTAGGCTTTGGTGTTCCCTTCTGCCTTGTTGGGGCCTTTGGGCCGGATTTTTTTGCAATTTAAGGCCAAAGGCATAACTGCAAGTCAATACACGCGGCTCAGCGTGCGGAGCTCGGCAGGCGAGCCCAACGGCGCTGGCAGGTGGGTTCCCAAGGTTACTTTCCTTAGGCGCACGGAATTTGCCTGGGAACAGCCACGATACTAAAACAACAGTTAAGCTAATTAAGCTTGGGCAGGGTAGCTGGTGCTGAGCAAGCGCCGCTTAAACCTTGTCAAACATAATTATTGCGCCAGTGAGCGGCCATTCCCTACCTGTGACTTTGAGCTTGGGGAGTTCTAGGGCGCCAAGCCGGGGTCAACTGATATTGCGGGGCGGGTTGTGCTGAACAAGCCGCGCGTCCCAAATGAAAAAGGTTACGCACATGTACCCCGTCCCATCCTGAACAGCAAAATGCGCACCCTCTTGCCCACTGCCCGCCGCCACCCAATGAGGTTCCGGGCTGGACAACGTCAAGGGCTCCGTGCAATCGTGCTTACGCAGCACCGTTTTTGGCGCACTTTCGCAGTACCTCATCTGCGTTGCGCTTTTGCAGCGCCGTTTTTTGGGGCACTTTTGCAGTACCGCGCTTTAATACCGCTTTTGCAGCGCCGTTTCTGGGGCGCATTTGCAGCACCTCATCATCTGAACAGCGCTTTTACAGCGCCGTTTTTGGGGCACTTTTTTCAACACCTCATCTAAGCAGCGCTTTTGCAGCACCTCATCATCTGAACAGCGCTTTTGCAGCACCGTTTTTGGGCCACTTTTTTCAGTACCTCATCATCTGAACAGCGCTTTTGCAGCGCCGTTTCACCGCTTCTGCAGCACCCAGTCACGCATTGCACTTTTGCGGCAATTTGCCTCAGAGCCTTGAAAGCGCTTTTGCAGCACCTTGGCATGAATGGCGCTTGCGCAGTACCATGTGAAACAGGCGCTTGTGCACCATCTTTCCTTCACCACCTTTGAAGCACCAAGTTGAAGCACCACGTTTGAAGGCTCTGGCCCTTTCCCGATTTTACGGTTCGCCTTGTCCCCCTCCTCCCAGTGAAGTCTGGGCCAGATTGAAGCACCTTTAAACTCAAGCAGGCCACGGGGATCTTGTCAATCAACATTGGGGCAGGCAACAATGGCTCTGCCTTTCCGTCGCCCAAACAAATCAAGCAGGCCTTCTGGAAAACACGTGGGCGCTAGTTTTTAGCTTTTTGCGGCCTTTCGTTTTGAAAGCGACATAGCTGTATTTCAAAACCCCTGTTTTGCAGCATGCGCATTTTGTGTGTCATGTTTAGCTCGTGTACAGGTTAATGGAACATCATGGAACATGATTCATGGCTTTGCGGCTTTTACTTGCTGAACAAATGTGATCCATGGCGCGGTGTGGGCACTGCGCTCGGATAACCTTCAGTTTTAGCATTAAAAAGCCAACAGAAACACCAGCCGTCGGAAAATTGCACCAAGTTCAGCCTCAAAGTTCCCAAAGAAATTACTCCAGAACCAACAGCCAAAACCAAAGGCACAAAAGCAGAATACAAAGTGCAGCCCACCAGAGGCGGTGCTGCACTTCCGCTCTTTTGACTCTGTTTCGCACAGGCGAGTGACTGCCAGCTCATCTGACAACAAAAAACGCTGAAACGCAATGTCTGTGCTCCACGCGCCCATGGCTTCCACTATGCTCAAACACATGCTTTCGCTTTGCGTCCCCGCTTCTGTTTTGCTGCTTGCACAAACGCCGCAGGAGGAGACATGGCAGGCCTCCAAATTTGGCTGCAGTTCTTCGGCAAGCTTCTGTCATGGCGATGCCAGAAGGAGCACATGTCTGTCCCGCGCAGTGTTGTCCACAACCCTGATGGGGCAGAGTGTCTTTGAGTTCTTCCACCACCCCGCCCATGTCCTCAACTTGTCCTACCCGCAGATGCCCCAGCTACTCGTCACGGAGTGGCAGAGAGCACTTCCGCCTAAGCATCCTCAAGTTGGGCGAGGGGTCAAGCTGACGGGCAACAAATACCCGATCAGCAACCTAGCCACCGAATTCGACTGCCGCCAATCACTGTTGAACCGCGGCAGATGACACCGACATCGCCTATTGCAAGGACCTCACGAAGATCCGTGCCAATTTCCTCAACGGTCCAAGTAGCCTATTCCTTTCCTTTCCATGCCGTTGTTTCCACCGCTGATCCTGCAAGCTGTTAACCACAACTGAGGTGGCAAGCTCTCAGTCTCAGCCTCAAGTATACATGCGCCACTTTCCGCCTTGCCCTGCCCCGCAGCTTCCTTGGCTCAGACCTTCAGTACGTTCCTTCGGCGAGTGCTACATCGTCAGCTTCCCTCCCTCCAGCTCATCGTTGCTTCCACACATCCTGCCACTACTTGGAATGCTTGGAAGCAACTGCGTCGCCTCATTTTCTCAAGAACTTCCTCTGCACCTGCCGCGCTGGACCTTGCAGAAGCTCAAGGACACCTCCGCTATGCCAGAGCCCTCCACTTCCGCGACCCCCGCAATGGATCCACGCCAGCGCCCCTGTCTTCAAAAACCAAGTGGCGCCCGCGCGACCCACGAAACTGCTTGCGCCACATGAATCAGGCCTGAGCAGCTTTACAGCTTTCCCCAAGGCAAGGTCGTTGATTCTGCTGCTTCTCACGAGACACAGTCTCTTGCCCTGCTCACAAGGTTCTAGCAACTTGCCAATCGTCGACGAGTGCACAAGATGTCGCACTCCTCCCTCCAGAGCCTACGACCAGTGTGGCCCGGCCATGGCAAAGCCAAGCCCAAATCACCGACGCGTTCAATGCCACGTAGCCTGTGAGGCAGCTTTCCACGCAGTCGCTGCCTTCTGCTGTGCGCAAAGCCGCTCCCTGATCGAATCTACTTGCCACATGCACCGGCTGCGCGCATTCGTCGCCCGCGCAAAGCAGCAACAAACAAACCTTGCCATAAGCTTTAGTCAGCGACACCAAGCACAAGAGATTTACATTTCGAATCCCAGTAAAGCTCTTGTGTTGGATTGCACAACAACTTTCTTTCCAACCTGGCTAGAGAGCAGCCCTGCGGGAGACATTTGTGATCTGACTTTCAAAGCCTTCTGTTTCTTGCGCCAGTTTCAAGACTTTCCCATTCAGTGCAACAACTGATCGGTTGCTTTGCCTCCGCAAAAGCCAGGCCAAGGCATTATCGCCTTTCACACACATCGTCTCCTTGTCACCAGGAGGTTGCGTGCGAAGTCCATCTCAGATCCTCGCCGGCTGCTGGATGCAAGTTCACAACTCTACAAGACAAGCATCATCGGCCAAACGTGCGGAGGACTGCCACGCCCTTCTTTCCCTACCTGTGCAAGGCGCAAGTGAGCCACTACCTTCCTCTGTTTCCTATGTCAGACTCTTCCAAGAGAAGCTCAAGTCCTTTCCAGACGAACCAAAAGCTGTCGACACATGGCGGCTCATTTTTCACCGTATAAGCCTATAATGTTGTGGCTACTTCTGTTTGCGTACTTTGCTTTTAAACACTCTTTCTTGATTTTGGGCCCCGACACCACGCTTTTTTCACAATCCCTTTTGTTGGACGCACCCATGCAACTACAATTTTCACAGACACCCTGAATATCCAAGGCTTCCAATGCACCAGCTGAGCGGCTGCCAAGCCGATGCTTGAATGCGCCCGCGCCGTTTCACCCCAGATTTGTTATTCACGGAGAAAACGCGTGCTTCTGGCCAGCTTTCGCCCACCCCTCTCTCAAGTCAACAAGAGCTGCAACCAGGGAATGGCCCTGGCTCTGGACGGCGAAGCTGGGAAGCCCTTCGTTCACAGACTTTGGGAGACGAAACTTTGGAAAGGTAGCAGTTGTGCAAAACACCCATCAATCAATCATTATTCAGATCCTCGTGGTCTCCTGGTCTCCAGGTCCCTTGTTCTGCTGGCCTCCCGCACTTTCTAACCATAAACCCTTAAACGCAGATAGACTCCAGACCATACCAACTGTGAACCACCTGTCAGCCAAGTGGGCCAACCCTCAAACCCGACTAAGCGAGTTTAATCTTCAGGACACCTGAGCCACGTTAAACCCCGGCCACATGAGCCGCAGCGAACAAACTTCATGCCCACCCTAAGCCCGCCCCAAGCCAACCCGAAGCCAACCCTGAATTATCCCTGGCCTAACCCTAGAGAGCCACCCTATATCCACCTCAAACCCAACCATACGCCCATATCTAAACAACCGCACGACAAGCTTGAACCAACCGCAGGCAAGCCCTGACCAACCATAAGCCAACCTCTCACCCAGCCCGAAGAAGCTAATTGTAAACCAGGGGGGGGGACCGATGCTATACGCATTCAACCGATGCTTTTTTTTTTTGACAGTGCTGCGCTTGTACTGAATAGTTGCGATTTCCGAGCTGGAGCTGCAAAAGTGGCCTTCGCGTGCTGAGATGTGTTGAGCTTGTACTGAGCAGAGCAATTTCCATTTTTGAGTTGAAGCCGCAAAATGCGTGTGAATAACAACGATTTTGCATCCTTGCGTCTTGTTCGAGACAGTTTTGTTTTCCATCCACTAAATAATTTCTTTTTGTCCGAGTGCGTGATATTTTTTGATCCTCAAACTATTTACCTTGATCCTGTGCCCCTCTCGGGGGGCGGAGGTTGTCATGAACCTCTTGGCCCTAACAGGGGCAGATGGTGTCGATCATGGACTCCGTCTCGCAGCAGCAGAGCGCGGACAGTTTCTACTCCCAGCGAGGCAACGGGAGAGGGGGCATGAGGGGGGCGATTTTGGGCAGGGTGCTAGTGCTTGGCACATGGTTAGTAACCGTGGGCTGACAGCCGTGATAGTAGGAAAACTAACCATGGTTGCTAACCACATACCTGATGTATTGAATCGAACGCCCCTTCAACCGGAAAACTGGGGGGACTCAACGGAAACAAAGGAATGGGCCTTTCGCAGCCGGCTCTTTTTCCTACCGAGAAGGGGCATCCAGTGGCGACTGGGTCCAGATGTCTCTCGTAGCGCTTGGCGCGACAAGCCCCTTGAATGGAAACGTCGCATTGCGGGGCCATCTAAGATCCTTTTCGCAGTCTCCCCTGAACAGGCTTTTTTTTGGGACGCAAAAGGCAGGGCACGAACTCTAAATTTCAGATGTCCCGTGGGGCACAATAACTGTCGACCGTGGCTGGCGTGGTTCAGAGGACAGCCTGCAGCCGTACATTAGTTTATAGTGAGCTCAGGGGCTTGGAAGGCGAAAGCCCCAAAACAATTTTTGTTGAGAATGGCTGCCACATGGGCATGCGTCAAAATTAGGCCCCTCTCAAACCGGTACTGAAGCCTACACTCGGCCCGTTTCAGACCCAGAGACCCAGAAACCCACGAATTCCGAGGATTGGCCGTGTCCAGCTTGGAGGTCCTGGGGCCCCTTGGTACGTGGCGGCACGATTGGCTCGGTACCCAAAAGGGGTGAACCCAGGGGAGTGGTGTGTACGCACATGGGAGCAGTTGCTTGAGGCTACCCTTTGTTGGGTAACAACCCCTTTGTGTGTGTTTGTGTGCTTGAGTGCTTGCTTGCTTGCTTGCTTGCTTGCTTGCTTGCTTGCGTGCGTGCGTGCGTGCGTGCGTGCGTGCGTGCTTGTCTGTTTCTCTGTCTGTCTGTTTCTTTCTTTCTTTCTTTCTTTGTTTGTTTGTTTGTTTGTTTGTTTGTTTGTTTGTTTGTTTGTTTGCGTTGTTTGTTTGTTTGTTTGTTTGTTTGTTTGCGTTGTTTGTTTGTTTGTTTGTTTGTTTGTTTGTTTTTGTTGTTGTTGTTGTTGTTGTTGTTGCTGCTGCTGCTGCTGCTGCTGCTGCTGCTGCTGTTTTTTTTTTTTTTTTGGGGGGGGGGGGGGGGTTGAATAGAAAGGGGAACAAATGGAACACTCAGTCTTTGGGGACCATTTTGAAAGACGCTACGCGAGACCCGAGACCCGAGATAAGCGCAGCTTCGATTTTCCGCGTCCTTAAGTTTTCACAACGCACCATTCTGCTCCGAAAAATGGTTCATGGAACAGCCTTCGGATTCCGAATTCCATGTACCGTCGTGTATCTATCTTCTTTGGCGTTCTTTGGTCAGCCTTGTCCATTTGGCAAACCTCGCTCGTGGGTTCGCAAAGGACGTGATCAATGCCCATTTCCGGGCCAAGGCTTTAAGGTCTTATATCTTTGACTTCTTATATGGTATTTCTGCGTTGACTGGCCCCAAACCCTCAAAGCTTCCCCACTGACAGGCGTTTTTTTGTTCATTCATTTTTGGAACCTCCAACATGTCTAGTTTCGCTGGAAACTACCAGTGAATTCATCAACTTAAGGGGAAAGCCAGTGACCCTGGCAGAGAAAGGTGACGACAGCTGAGCTGAGCCGTCAGATCCGAGGTATGAGGCGCTGGACGCGAACGTGGCACCGCGGCCGCTAACAAATGGGTAGTGGTCAAGGAGTCCGTTCAAAGGGCCTTTTAGGATCAACTCCCGGTTTGTTTTTGTTATTTTTCTTGGGGGGGTGGGGTGAGGATTGAATTCTTGCGTGAGTTGATGGCGAGTCGCTGCGAACCGATTCTCGTGAAGGGTTCTGGCATGGCTCCGAGCGCCGGCGTGCCTGCGGCACTTACTCAAATTCTTTGCCTGTAAAAGCGTTCTTTCGAATTCAACCTGTGAATGGAAAGGCTTTCGTGGGCAGAATTGGAAGCCAGGTTTTCCAACCGGGATTGGAGGAGTCTCTGATTTCAGGAAATCCCAGTGAGCCGCTTTGTGTCTAACCTGATGGCTCAACTGGGGGGATCATGCCCTACGTGACCAAAAGGGTAAACCAAGAGTTGCAACGCGCGACTTCAAACGGGTTTCCTTTTGACCCCTTGCAGGGTGCCAGCAAGGCCCTTGCAGGCACCGGCGCCCTATTTGGACCCATAGCTCAAACGGGAGACCTGCGCACCCGTTTTGAATAAGCTCCTTTTCAGATGTTGTTTGAATAAGTTCCTTTACCTTTGCTTGGCTGAGGCAGCCAACAGTTGGTGCGCTGTTCTGGCAAACGTCGACTCAGCCGGTCAGAAACTCACGGAACCTTGTGCCACAGCCAAAACCTGTGGCTTGGCAATCCGAAGAAAGGAACCAAGAGCCCGGAAAGATGCCAAGGAGCTGGAGGTATTTGGGAGCTACCGATGGGAGTTCTGGATAGGGACATGGCAGAGGACTTTTCTCAGCCCCCGAAAAAAGGGTTTCTCTGCCGTTGGGGCAAATCGCGAGGCTGATGCGCTGCAAAGTACCATCGTGGAGTCAGTAAAGCAGGCGTGGCAATTGCCAGGCCAAAGCCTTTGCTTTTTCAGTTGTTGCCTTTTGAGTTGTGTGTCAAAGTTCCTGTCAACCAGCCAAAAGTTATCATTTTTTTGCAGGGGTCTCAGTCTGGCCATGTGAGCAATCGCTAATTCTCAGGGAATAAAACCAGATCATGAACCGGAATCCCTGTGAAGCAATACGGGATGGTTTAGAGGGGTCAGTTTTAGTTGGATCCCACTGAGCCATCCAACTGGTTTGTTTGGGGATCCGTGGTTCTCAGCACCCAGCAATTCTCAACCATCAAGCTCATCCGGCCCCAACCCCCCGGATCCACCCCCCTTTGACGGATCGGTCTTCCGGCAAAACTGGGGGAGAGAGGGAGGGAGGATTGAATCCTATGTAATCCTATGTGAAAGAGTGCGTTGTGTCAGTTTTTGGTGGCCCCAAAAGGTTGACCAATCAAATTTATGGGTCCTTTGGGCAAACTGAGCTAGTGGTGTAGTGCCTTTCTTCAACTTCTTTGAAGAGCACAACGCTTTAAACATAAGCGGTGTATTTTGTTGGTTCTATGGCCACAGGAGGTCTGGGTTCCTGCGATCCAATGTTCAATCATGTTCATGTGTCTGTGTGTGTGTCCCTTCCTGTTTCCAAGGATTTTGCACATGCCGCTTTTGGTAATTCGCTGCATGTTTCAAGAGTCTGGGAAAAGCTGGATGTGGGAACCCACTGATGAGTCCATCCCACAGTCCAGCGGGACGAAACTCATATTGAATTCGATAATCGAATTGGTCCACAGTTTCCCGAAGATTGGCTGCTTGATGACCCTTGAAGAAAATCTCTGCAGACCAGCTTTGCTGGGACACAAGTGTGTGTGTGTGTGGGTGTGCGCGCGTTCGTGCGTGCGTGCGTGCGTGCGTGCGCGCGTTCGTGCGTGCGTGCGTGCCTGCGCGCGCGCGTGCGTGCGCGCCGCGCCCGCGCCGCGCCGCGCCGTGCCCGTGTCGGGGGCCGGGCCGGGCCGGGCCGGGCCGGGCCGGGCCGGTCCGGGCCGGGCCGGACGGGCGTTTTTTTTTAGTAGTTGCTTGCTTGCTTGCTTGCTTGCTTGCTTGCTTGCTTGCTTGCTTGCTTGCTTGCTTGCTTGCTTGCTTGCTTGCCTGCCTGCCTGCCTGCCTGCCTGCCTGCCTGCCTGCCTGCCTGCCTGCCTGCCTGCCTGCCTGCCTGCCTGCCTGCCTGCCTGCCTGCCTGCCTGCCTGCCTGCCTGCCTGCTTGCTTGCTTGCTTGCTTGCTTGCTTGCTTGCTTGCTTGCTTGCTTGTGTTTGTTTGTTTGTTTGTTTGTTTGTTTGTTTGTTTGTTTGTTTGTTTTCTTTGTTTGCTTTTCGATCTTTGTTTGTTTGTTTGTTTGTTTGTTTGTTTGCTTTTCGAGGTTTGCACAAAGGACACGGGCCCGTTTGGTTATTAATTCTGCTACGCACCCAGGTCACTAGGCAAAGCATAAGCCCTGAGCATCGTGGACAACAGTCTTACTGATTTCAACTAAGCTGGGCCAGCGTTTGGGTTCATGCATGTTTGCCCTTGGCTCAATTAGAGAATGACACGTCACGAAAACTGGCTTAAGCTAGCTGAAGCTTTTCCTTGCATAAGCAAGGTGAGGGGCTGAAATGCCGAAAGATTGATTTCAGCATAATTTTGAGCCAAACATATTGCAAGAATCAATTATTTGACTGCCCTTGGACGCTTGGCGCCCATGTGGCGAATGACTTGTTTTGCCTAGTGGTACGACCCATCGAACTCCGCAGTTTCATCGGGTACTCATCGGACTCCGTGGGCTCCTCAGATCGCTCTCCTCGGGTACAGCAGATGCCTCGGGCTCGCCAGGCTCAGAGCGCTCAGCAGGCCCGAAGGACGAGCTTAGGTGGTGTTGGCGTCAAAAAGGTCCTCAGCCCCGCTGGCCCTGCTGCAAAGCGGGGGGGCTCATTTGCGGTGGAGCTGGAGTTGCGCCAAATCCAAATGGGGCACCCCAAATTCCTGCCGTTTGCCCAACGCCTCAATGAGCTCAGCGGACTTAGCGGACGCATGCGGACGCACTGGCCTCCTGACTGGAGCACCGTAGGCTCGTTGGGGCCCGCGGACTCATCGCATTCAGCGGGCTCACAACGAGCTCCGCAGACTCATTGGACTCATCCGGCCCAGCGGACTCATCGGACTCAGAGGTTCAGCGATTTAGAAGCCACCCGCGCAATCGGATCTGCAGATCGGAGTTGCAGGACAGCCTGGATGGATCAGACGGCTCGGTCAGGTTGACGAGCTTTCCTTTACAAGGTTTGACTTTTGAAAGGAGCTTTCGTTGGACGCCGCGGGTCGGACTCACCGGGCATGTTGGACTTCTTGGACACGGCGGATGGCCCTAGGTTGGACTCATCGGACGCCTCGGGGGTGGCCGTGCGTCGGACGCGTTGGACTCCTCAGACTCGTCGAACGGACCGGACCTATTTTTACCCTCATACTCATAGCTCGAAAATGCTGAGGTCTATTTGGAGTGTCCATCTTTCTCTGCAGCTTTGTTTCCCTTGTGTCCAAAGGCAGAGCATCTCCAGGGCACCCGATCTGCACATCCGACACCACTTTCGTGGTCTTCCTTACTCGTGTCAGGAAAGCACCTCGCAGGAATCCGTGCGCAAGCAGCATGCAGAATGTGACAGGATTCGGGGGATGTTTGCGCCTCCCATGGTGCGCAAGCTACCTGTGCAATCCACTTTGTTTCCGACCCGTCAGCTGCTTGCTTTCGTTCACCCCCTCCCAGGTTTCAACTCCTAGGTTTAGGGCTGAATGTTGACCACGTGAGGGGGCCATTCTTGGGCGCTTCCGACGGCGCCCGCCAGATCAACCGCCTGCAGCAAGCCAAGTCGGCCATCGACGTGCCTTGGCTGATTCGGAACAGCCCAATAAAGAACCAAGCAGGGAGGGCTTTCGGCCTGTGTGCGAACCATTGAGAGGCGTGGGCGGATGCATAATGCCTCCATGAAGCAACTTAGTCTTGAAGGTTTTTTGGCGCGGAGTGTTGTTGCTTGGTCTGGGGGGGGGGGGCGTTCTGAAAGATGTTTGGGTGTTTCGTTCTGGAAGATGCTTTGGTCGACAGAATTCGTCCACAGTAAGTGCGTCTGGTGACAGACACTGCTTAAGGCATGTGTCTCTTTGAGGGATCGCTTTGAGTTGTTTTGTTTTGCTTCCCGGAAACACAGGGATCAAATTCCGAGGGTCCAACTCCTTGAGGCAAACCCATGGGGCAAGTTAATGGTGCCATTGGGATTCGCTTGTTAAACGCAGAAGTTTGCTTGTGCAGGGACATGGACGCGTTTACGATTTGTTTCTCATCAGGAGGGAGAGGTGTCAGCGTTTATGTGCCGTTTTTTTCCGTTCTTCCAGGCCCACTTGCCGCCAAGTTAAACCCAATACAGCAAAATTTTGAAGAGGGAAGCCAGGACCCATTTTCGAGCCCGGTTCGACCTGGGAAACGTAATGAGGAGGAGGAGTGCATGGATGCGATGGCGTTGTATGCTCCATTCCTGCGTTGTTTGGGCAAATTGAGCATCAGGGCGGGGGGGCTCTTGATTTCCAGTTTGCGGTCTGGATCGTGGTCTTCCATTTGGCCAAGGTCCTTCCCGCCCCCCAACAAAACAAAGGGGGCATTGCAAGCCTTCCCCCAACAGACGTAGAAGTGCAGAGGGCCCACGTTCATGTTTGATGTTGAAACAAAGCTCAAGTGCTTGCTTAATGTCTACGCCTTGCCGCCAATTTTTGCAAGGTCCAAAATTGCCAAAGGCGCCAGCCAACGGAAGGCTTTGGATCTTTTGCGATTCTGTGAATCACGGGTGCTCTCTTTTTTGGAGTTGTTACTCCCGAACAAAAAAGCCGTGGCTTAGGGAAGCCGAAAGGAGAACCGTTGTGATGGCCATTCCCAGTCCGATTCGACTTCGCCGCCCTCGGTGTCAACTGAAGGGACTAGGAAGGGTTGGCTAGAATCCAATGTAAGTTTTTCCCGAAAACGGTTGGGATGTGTTTTTGTGGATTTCACAAGTTCTTCCCCTCGCTATTAAATTAATCGCATCCAAACCGTTTCCTAGAGTTTTGAGTAACGCCCTGGCATGGTGGGCTCTTACCAACTATTGAACAGGTTCCCTACGATTTGGGGTGTTCGGCTGTGGTTCGCCTTGTCGGCTAAAAGTAGGTTTCCTTTTTTCTTCTTTTGTTTGGGGGGTTCTCCTCCAAATCCATTTTTTTAAGTATATTTTCCCCTGAGTTTATGGACTTTAGACACTTTTTGGGTTTGGACCAGTTTGGCGGTAAAACACAAGTTCCTCCAGGCTAAACACGGACCATGTGAAATGCTTTTTGTGTACCCTACGCAGGCCTCGACAAGCGATCGCTGGGGTCTCAGCTCAGGTCAACACTTCGCAGCTGAATGGCGAGATCAGGCGGGGCCTTGGTGCGCCCAAGCAAAGGTTGATTTTGAAGTGGAAGTGGTAGGCGGCTGAATCCTAGACTAGGGACTAAGAAAAATTTCAAGACTTCAGACAGCTGCGGGGATTCCACATTTTATCCACTCTTGGCTTCTCTCCCTCCAATTAATAATCATGGAAGCTGATAGGAGGGTGCTCTTGAAGGACCTCCCTGTCCACTTTCGCAGAAGTCCGACAGCTTCGTGTGGGTCTTTGTGTTGAGCTGTTTGGTCTTGCTTCACTTGCTGGTGCTCAGTATGTCACGAAAGGTAGCCTCACCTCAAGGAGCCGCCCTCTGCCGCCCCCCCCCCCCCCCGGCGCGATGATTGGCAGCTTCGCTCCTTTTTCCGGGCTTCTCGCCGCTCTTTCGCTCGCTTCGCTTTACACTTGGGTCCGCTTTTCGCTCCCTTTCGCTCTTGTGCTTCAAGGCCGGTCCACCCAGTCAAGTCACGGTGTAATTTGTTCCGAAGTTGATATGGGACACTCAGCCCTCGTCTGCTTCATAGTGGGCTATGCACAATTATACGGTGCTGAGGGTACCTTAGTTTTAGCACCAACACCTCTATGTAGGGGAGTGACTTTACGGTATCCTACCTTCCGTGTGTTCTCAAGTATTGTGGGAATGAACCCAGGGGGCCCCTTCAAGGAAACTGCAAGGGATGGGTTATAAGGGTCATTCCCTCTCGTTCCCCACAAAGCGCCAGCAAGTTTAAAGGAAGTCCACGCGAAGCAGGGTACCCCGGAGTTGGTGGGAATCCTTTTTGATATATACACATATTTCTATAGATTGGTGTGTGAGCATAAAAGTCCAGCGCCTTGGAAAGACAACCTCACGGTCTCTTTGGAAATGCTGCCTCTCAATCGTGTGTGGCTGAATCCCCTCCATCAATAGGATGCGAATGTGGCTTGCGGCTGAGAGAGCTTCCCATTCCAGGAGGCGCGCGCCGCACTGCTTGGTTCATATGGGTCGTAGTAGCGGCTCCAACGATTTATGTACCCGTGCACAACACCATGCTAAAAAGCATAACGTGCATGGTAAACACTGCCGTCATCTCCCGGTGAGATGTTTGGGCTTTGCCAGGCTTGCGACCCTTGAGACGGAAGCCTGGCGGTGAAATGGCCGGGTGAGGCTTGGGGAAGGCCTGGTGTGGACCCCGAGTTCCAAAGTGGGGATTTCCCCAAGGGCCCCAAGATGGTGGTCCCCCCTTAACAAGCGGGTTCCTCCCCAAAAAGCACACCCATCAAAGAGATTCTTTCAATTTTAAATGGCGCGAAGGAACATAAGTAGCCCCTCGCATCGCTCACTTGAGTTCGCACAATCAAGATCAATCAATCAAGTATTGGGTGCGTTTCTCCATTTTAGTCCCGGCCCAAGTCCAAGATGGTTTGACACTTCCAGACTTTTGCCTCCATTTTGCTCTCTTGCCCTTTCAGTAGTTCTTGGATCCTTCAAGCAGAATGACTTTTTGCAGGAGGCCTAAGTCAGACCAAGCCTAGGACGGTTCAACCCCCTATGTTGACACACACACACACACACGCATACACACCAATGTGGAATGCCTTTCCATACTCTTCCTTTCCGAAGGCATCCGGACCCAGGCACCAGTGGGCCACAATCAAAACCTGGGTAGATGAAGGTTAGCCAGTGCTAGTCCCAACAATAAATTGGGTGCCTTCGCTGCCTTTTTACACAATCCTGGGCCCCGGACCATCTCAATACCAATCGCCACTTCCGGACTAAAACACGGGGCTTTTGTGCCCATGAAAATCTGGAGTTGCGCCCGGAGTGAAAGCTTCCAACGTGAATGCGCGGGAGTTGTAGGGGGGGGGGGGGAGGGGTGAAATGAATTTCAACCGAAAGCCTAGCGCTGTGAATCAAATTCGAAGACCCGAGGATCCCTTTGTTGGGTCTGCGAGTTTGTGAAGCACGCGGGAGGCGCGCGGAAGACGAGTGTGTCCCAAGCCGCCACAGCTGCCAATTCCAACATCTGGCTTGTGAAGGTTCATAGCCAGGGCGCTTTGCCAAGAGCGCGTTTACTTCCAAACTGACCGCAAAAACAAATGCCCAAGGAGTATCCCCAGCCCTGGAATCGAACCCGGAACCTTGCATCCAGCAATCTGCCCAACAATTGGCGCACCAACCTGCTATTGTCAATTGTCACGAGGCTTGAGGTTGCAGCGCTTGTAGGAGACCCGGGCTCTACAATCATACAGAGGCAGATAACGCCCCGTGTCCAACCGTTCTGGGGCAAGCCTAACAAGGTTTTCCCGGACCAGCGGTGCTCTTTTTCCTGAAAATCAATCAAGTATCAAACTAAAAGAAACGCATTTTGACCCCCCATGAATGTCCAACTGGTCAGGTTTCCGTTTTTGCCCGGTGTTTCAGCGCCCACGTTGAATGGCTCGAAGAAGGAAACCACGAGGTTTCAGCCCGGCCAAGGATCTCATCAAGCACCGGGCGACCAACAACCTGCTGCTGGCAGTCTCCGAGGGCGTCACCGAGGCGCATGGAGACCGTCAGAACTGCGTGAGGTTATCGTCAGAAGACTTTTAAGACTTCAGGGTGGGTCAGTCACACGACCCCCCCCCAACCCCTCCCAGCCTCGAAACCACCCTTGGCCGGACCGAATCTGCGCGCGCACGCGCGTACCCAGAACAGCACTACACCAAGCATCTGGAACAGACCAAGCACCCAAGACAGCACTACCAAGAACCGGAACAGCACTACACAACCAAGCGCCCGGAACAGCACGACACCAAGCGCCCGGGACAGCACAACCGCACTACTGTCAGAGTTTACTATTTCCTTGTCGAGGTCTTCCAAAGCTTGTCGGGAATATAGCACCCTACTGATCTAGGATTTGGCCGCGGAGATGGACGCGACCAGGCGCAAGGGTTGCGGTAGTGCAAAATCACATCGCGCGCCCGGGGGAGAGGGAAGGAGGCAGGCGAGCACGTGAGTGAGCAACGACAAGGGCGCCAAAGAAGCCTTGCAAGCGCAAGCGTGCATAAAAGTGGCGGTGCCAGCGTGAATGTTCAAAGGCGCCAGAGCATCCATGCCAGCTCAGGCAAGGGGGCCGCGTACAAGGCATGTGCGGGCAAATGCCTATGCAAGCGCGTGTGCGTGCATGAAAAGAGCGTTGCCGGGCCCATAGCTGAGGCAGACGGGCACGTGAGCTACGAACGCGCACAGAAGCAAGCGGGCGCAAAGAAGCAAGTGCATTGACAAAAGCAGCAACATGAGCGGTGCCAGGACGGCTGTGCGAGGGCCCCGGCGCAGGCATGCCAGCTTCAGCAGCACAATGAAACATGCGCGTACAACCACCTATCAAAAGCATGTGCGCGGTAAAATAAGGGTGGCAGGGTGCATGTTGCAGGGCGCCAACGCATGCAAAGGGACTGCGCGCAAACAAGCAAGAGCAGTTCCGGTGCCTGGTCTGTTCCGGGTGCCTGGTGTAGTGCTCTGTGCCAAACACACAACATGAACATGCTCGCTGTCACCATGTTCTTGTTGCGCGCGCACACATTGAAAGCACTTGCTTTGTTGCGCGCAGTCCCTCGGAGCTGGCGTGCGCGTTGCCTGCAACCTGCACCCTGCCGCCGCATGTTTCTCCCACATACGCTGCGTTTTGTTGGTGGTTGCGCGCACATGCTTGTTTACGCGCAGCACCCCCGCTTGAGCTGCCGGTGCCCTAGAACAGCCGTCCTGGCACTGCTCATGGTGCGCTTTGCTCAACGGACGCACTTGCTTCTTTGCGCCCGCGCGCGGATGCGCCGGCGCCCTCGAACATACATACTGGCGCCGCCGCTTTCACGCTCGCACACGCCCTCCCAATCTGGTTCACCTTCTACCCCAACTCCAGGATCTCTGGTCTGTCCAGCTCACCGCCATTTGCCACTCCCAACTTTTCCGCCGCTCCGCTCCTCCCATTCTGGCACCACGCCACTTCCCTGAATGTGACCTCGAACAAGTGTGGCTGCGTTGCTGCTCAAAACCTCGAATCCTGCGAGAAGTTCATCGTCTGGTTGCCAAGCTGCTCGCTGTTCCAGATCCAGTCCAAATGGACTGGCCCATGGGGCTTGGTCTTCATGTTTTCTGCTCGTGTCCATCGCCGGCCCTTAGGGCTCGGCCTTCACACCAATGTCTGTGTCCTTCACTTGGGCGTAGGGCGAAGAGCATGATTCATGCCGCATCATCTGCAGAATCTCTCTTGAGGGCCCTCAAAGTCGCCTCCTCCCGTCTCTGCCTTGGAATGTGTGGAAATATTATGTTGACCATGCGTCGCGGGTCCAAAGCAATATATATATATATATAATGTTTTTGGGGGCATGTAGTTTTATCATAGCATGTTTCCATGCCACGGCCAATGCGCCGTTTGGCTCAAGCTTTTAACCACGGCGTTCCCTTTGTGCTGTCTCGTCGACTCGCGCCATACGGCGCGGCGCACCATCTCCACCTCGAAAAGGAGTGGGGCCGGCAGTGCCGCGGGTGGCTCCGGGTTGGAGCAGGTCACAGGCTGGGGGTGGTGGTTGCATTGGTTTGCTTTGCTTGCTTCGCTGCATTGTTTGCCTGCTTGGTTTGCTGCTTTGTGCTTGCTTTCGGTTGTCTCTGCCCTTGCTGGGCTTCTTTACCTTGATACAACTGGCACCCTGTTTTGGTTCGTGTTTGGCCAGCCGAGGGCACCACTTTGCCCTTGGGACTGGGGGGTTTAAACAATCTCTTCTTGTTGGTGGGATTGGGCCTGTTTATTCTCTCCCGAAATACTGTTTCAAACCCTTTCGAATCACCGAGGATGGACCTCATGTGGTGACCGATGAGTGGGTTCTCGGCCAGGCCGGAATCTTGGACGTTGTGAATGACGACCAAGTGCCCGGACAGCCGATGTTTTCCGGTCCTGACTTTTTGTCGGAACACACTTTTTCAGAAGCAATGCCTTCAGAGAGATCCAGTGCTACTCGCACTGATGATCTATCGTCTAATGCCTCAAGAGCTAATCGCTCTCAGGGTCGTGGGACTAATCGTCCTGACCATGATGATTCCGTCTCAGGACGTGATGATGACGAGCCCGGTATTGCACCTGGAGCTCAATCCTCATCTTTCCCCGAGCTGATGAATATTGGTCAGTCCGAGGTTCGTGACTCCCGAGGCAGCAGTAGACCTGTGCCAACCAGTAACATAGCTTTCCAAGTACTCGGTAATCCCGAGCCTGGTACATCCAGTGGAGTTGCATTTGACGTTCATCTGCCAACCGAATCCGGTGGGCTAGATTGGAGAGCCTCATGGCCCAACGACGGAAACATTTTTGGTATGGATTTCGCTGCATGGATGCCAGGGCCACCAGCCCCGTCATCTTTCCCGCAATTCCAAAGCCCAAAACGGGCTGCTGGTAGCGATGAATTCATACTACCTTTGTCAATTGAAAATCTCAATCCTGATGTAGCCAGCCGTAACGTCAGGCCAAGGCCGTCGGTAAACCCGACCATGAGGAACATGTCCCCTCCCCCAGGACTTTCAGGATTTGAGAGCCCTAGGGAGCGGAACATTGTAGACAGATTGGATTTGCATCCCAGTCCAACCCCGAGCAAGCGGTCGAGGTCAAATTCGACTGGATCGCATAGGGCTAGGGGGATGGATCGGGAAACTGCCCACAGGGGGAACCCCTGTACGCGGGACTCTGGACGCGGTCGATCAGGTGATCCAGCGTCAATCATTGGTAGAGACCCGTTAAACACGGACACACTCGTTAACGTGCTTGATGGGAACGAAGCATTTGAGGAGGAATTTAATAGGTCGAGTGGCTTGAATGCACAAAGTGTTCGCCCTACGCCCAACGCGGCTTCCTTTTTCGCCCTGGACGACATGGACGGAGCTAATGTTCCGATAGAGTCCGAATCCATGATGGCATCAAGTTCTAGTCGCAATCACACCATCAGTAATGCAACTGATATGGAATCGATGTCGGAATCTAGAGTGTCCAATGCGACTGATTTGAATGACATTGTTATTGCTGACTCGAGACCTGATGTTCCTATGCGAACTGATAGGCCTGTTGTTCCTAAACTGTCCGTGGCCAAAGGCCTGGGCATGACACAACCCTCGGCGGTTCGTGATGCTAGGAGATCTGCGCCATACCAGAGCCAATCTCCTAATCGGAGTGAGTTCCCACGGCCATCAACGGCCGTGCAGGATGATTTCAGAACTCCTCCGAGATCTAATCCAGTCATGATTGATCTGTCCACTCCTCGGGACCGTGGATCAAGGCATAGTCCAATGGGTGAAGACCAGCCCAATGAGGTTGCTGATCTTGTCACGGCCCTTGAAAGAGGGAAAGTGGACTCTTCCGTAAGTGCGATTATTCATCGCCTAGTTGCTAAGGTCGAAGACCTTGGGAATAGAAATGATAGAAGTGATCAATGCATCAGGCAACTAACCACTGAGGTCAACTCGTGGAGAACCAAGTACGACCAATGCGTCCATGTGAATAACACATGTACGCAGGCTGCAAATGCGTCAATGCAGCTGTCGCAAGAGGCTAGGGATGTCGTAACCGAGCTTGGCCAACGAGTCAAGATCATTTTCGATCGTATGACTAGCTTAGGCGACGCCCTGAGTGAACGGGCCAGCTATGACGACGTCGCTCGATCGATCGTCCAAGTTCAAACTGTTTTTGAGTCTCTTTCTGATCGAGTTGCCGAGCTTATTACTCGTGTTGAAGCAATCGAGAGATCCCTCGTGGAGAGTCAATCCAATCATCCCGCGATTGGTGGTGTGAACCTCAAAATCGAGGATCTATCCGCCAGGATATGTAGCATCGACAGGATGATGCACAGTGCCGAACAGTGTTGGATTACCAACACGGAAGGCATAAAGTGGATCAAGGACCAACTCTGCGAAACGCAGACCAACTTAGAGGTCAAATCAAGAGACTGCAAGTCCTACACGGACAAGCAGAATACTCACAACATGGCTGTTTCGACTACGCTCAACAGCAAGCTTGAGCAGATGCTCAACGTGCTAAGTAGCACGGCCCAGAAAATTAACACTCTCGAGTCAAAGTACTCGAGCCATGCATCGAGTAGTGGATTGAATGATCACGCAGGGGATAGACGCGCCAATTCCCGTACTCCGGATAAGCGGCCACCTCCGCCTAGTCCTCCTGATAATGATCCTCCACCACCGCCTCCTCCGGATCGGCAAAGCCCGGGAGGAGGGGGGAAGAAGAGTGCTGCCGGTGGAAATCCTGGCAACGCTGGAGAACCCAGGTGTAAATACATGGGTGATGGGCGCATCCACCTTGTTGCTGAATTTCATTGTAAAGGATGCAAAGGTGCGATTTGCGAGTACTGTTTCTCGTTCAAAGAGGACTTGTGTGAAGAATGCTCCCGCGACGAACCCCGATGCGGTGTCTGTAGGGAGAGTTCGTTCCTGACCAAGGGAATTAACTGTCAATTTTGTAAGACTTTCTACTGCACAAGGCATTCAGCTGGGCAGGATGACTACAG